CGTTCTTCATCGTTCACTTTATGTATCTCTGATTAATGTCTTTAATTATATGTGTTCTATTTTATGCGCTGACTCTTATTTCGCCCTATAGTTGTTTTATTTATAATACCAATCTTAACAAATAATTTAATTTTTACAAATGCGGATAAAGGAAACATTACAATGGCATTAGACAAAGATACGTATAAACGCAAAATTAAAGAGATGTTGGATGACAATGACACATACATTAAAATTAACAAAGATTCTACGAGGAAACTAACAAAATTAAAAAAGATATTGATGTGGTGGAAACAAGCGGATTACATTTCAGAAGTCGCTTATAGGAATATGAATTGCAGTGATGGTGTACTTCTTAGAGCATACGGTTCCCTAAAGATACACAAGCCGAACTGCCCCTTCAGGATCATCATTTTATCTATTGATAGTCCTCTTCATGCATTTGTGCAACATTTTTACATAAGATAATTATAAAAACTATTCCGAAAGCATGTATCCATATTAACAATAGTTACAATCTTGTCAACAAATTAAAAAATACACATATTGACAACACACACAGTCGAATTTTGTTAGACGTTGTGTCACTTTTTACCAACATTTCGTTAGATCTGGTTATTAATAGTGTGAAAAAAAGATTCATTGCAGAACATTGTAACAAAAAAAGATGAATTTTTATTGGCAGTTCGATTTGTTCTCGATTCGACGTTATTTAAAATTTGATGACCAAGTTTATGAACAAAACCGATACGCTCATCATTGTATCCGATATTATAGCCGATATACAATACCTTGAAGAGAGCATAATAGATAGCTTGGATTTTCAAATTTGATTTTATTATCGGTACGTTGATGACATTGTCGCAGCGGTCTCCAAGACGGCTATAGATCAACTTTTACAATCGTTTAACTCGTTTCACCCAAAACACATTAGTTACAATTCACATTAGAAGTTGGTGATGATTCAATTAATTTTTTAGATACAACCATTTTAATTAAAGACAACAAAGTAATCTTTGATTAGTATCGAAAATTGTCTTTTTCGGGAAGATATTTCAACTTCATGTCTAGACACTCACTTTTACAAAAAAAAAGCGTTATCATGGATATGGTCGAGGGTGTTTCATTTTTCCGATCCAATGTTTCATCAAAAAAAATTCGACTTGATTATAAAAATTTTATTGAATAATGACTACCCATTAAAATTTATCTTCAAAACTATTTCACAGACTTAAATATCATATAAATAATAAAAAGATCACTAAGAAGAAACAAACTGTAAATATTAATAAAAAATTGCTTTTACTATTCCATATGTTAATAAAATATCTAACAAATTTAAGAAAATGATCAATGGCACAGTATCAAAGATTGCATTTTATAGTGTTAACAAACTGCGTAGTTTAATAAGAGTACACATAAATCTGTTACCAATCACAAAGTAACGTGTTATATAGGATTGCTTGCAAGAATTGTGAAGCTTCGCGGGGCAAA